GCATTAAGAATTTTTGTTTTCTTGATTAAGAATCCAGAGTGAAATTGTATTGAGTAACTTGAGGGAATAAAGCATCGAAAGGGGCAGAAGCTCGTAGACATTCTCTATTTCTCCCCTCTACTGCATATGTCGCAATTTTGCCCCATCACGACACTATGGTTTTTTCAGCACCTGTGTAGCACAGAAAGCTAGGGCTCCTGATCTAGGAAAGCAAGCCTATAAACATTCAAATAATGGCGGGATCCAGACCCATAGTGACTAACTTTTACTTTTTGTGGTACTAAGGATGGAGCATTCTACCTCCAAGCTACATCATTAGTCCATTTTATTTTATTTGGAGACAAGGTCTTACTAGGTAGCCAAGATGGGCCTTGGAACTTTTTTTTTTAATATTTATTTTTTAGTTTTAGGTGGACACAATGTCTTTATTTTATTTTTATGTGGTGCTAAGAATTGAACCCAGTGCCTCACACATGCTAAGCAAGCGTGCTACCACTTGAGCAACATCCCCAGCCCGGGCCTTGAAACTTTTGATCCTTCTGCCTCAGCTTCCCAAATTACTGGTATTGTAGGCATGTACCACCATGCTTTATTCTAGTGCTTTAATTTTTTTTTTTTTTGTACTAGGGAGTGAATACAGGGGCACTTAACCACTGAGCCACATCACCAGCCCTTTTTAGCATTTTTATTTAGAGACAGGGTCTCCCTGAGTCACTTAGGGCCTCACTAAGCTGCTGAGGCTGGCTTTGAACTTGTGATCCTCCTGCCTCAGCCTCCCAAGCCACAGGGATTACGGGCATGCGCCACCACACCCGGTAAGCTATTTTTTGGTTTTATTTTTAGCTCTATGATCAATTTAGAGCTAATTCTTTATGTAGTAGAGGTATAAATCAAAGTTCAATTTTTTTTACATATTTATATCCAGTTGTTCCAGCACCATTTGTTACAAAGACTCCTTTCTCCACCAAACTGCTTTGAACCTATGTAAAAATTTAATTAATTTTATATGTATATGTCTATGTCTGTATTCTCTGTTTTGATTCATTAATCTATTTTTCTTTCTTCTTTATATTTTTTTTACTGGGAATTGAGCCCAGGGATGTTTTGCCCCAGGTGTTTGGGGTTTTTTTGTTGTTGTTGTTGTTTAGTTGCAGATGGCCACAATCTTTATTTTTATTTATTGGTTTATTTTTACGTGGTGCTAAGGATCTAACCCAGGACCTCACGCATGCAAGGCAATCGCTCTACCACTGAGTACAACCCAGGCCCCCAGGTGTTTTTATTTGAGACCAGATCTTACTATGTTGCTTAGGGCCTCGTTAAATTGCTGAGGTTGACCTCAAACTTGCCATCCTCCTGCCTCAGCCTCCCCAGTCACCACCAGGCATGTCCTACTTTTATCTATTTTTATGCCTCAACACTTTGGGGCGGGGGGGGGGGTACCAGGGATTGAACCTAGGGGTACTCAATCCCTGAGCCACATCACCAGCCCTTTTTTGTATTTTATTTATCAGCAGGGTCTTGCTGACTTGCTTAGGGCCTTGTTAAACTGCTAAGGCTGGCTTTGAATTCAAGATCCTCCTCCCTCAGCCTCCCAAGCTGCTGGGATTATAGGCATGCACCCCAGCACCTGGCCTGACACTATCTTGATTACTACAGGTTAATATATGTCTGATAACATAAGCCAAATTTGTTCTTCCTTTTTTATTTTTTAGTTGTAGTTAAACACAATACCATTATTTTATTTATTTATCTTTATGTGGTGCTAAGGATCAAACCCAGGGCCTCACACATGCTAGACGTGCACTCTATGGCAGAGCCACAACCTCAGCCCTCTTTTTTGATTCTTGTTATTTCTTTCTCTGTTTATGATGTCTTTAAATTTAAATTTCTCCCCCTCCCCCCCATTTTTTGGCATCAAGGATTGAACCCAGGAGTGTTTTACCACTGAACCACATCCTCAGCCCTTTTTTTATTTTGAGACAGGGTATCATTAAGTTGTTTAGGGCCTATTCTCCTGCCTCAGCCTCCTGAGCCACTGGGATTATAGGCCTGACTCATTTTTTTGGCTTTTTTTTTTCTTTTCTTTTTTGTGGTTCTGGGGATTGAACCCAGGGCCTTGTACATGCAAGGCAAGCACTCTACCAACTGAGCTATATCCCCACTCTACCCCCCTTTTTCTTTGGCTTCTTGAGGTAGAAGTTGAAGTCACTGATTTGAGACATTTCTTCTTTTCTTATGTAGACATTTTGTATTTTTGTTATTGTTTCAGTGCTTGGGATCTAATCCAGGGCCTCATACATGCTAGATAGGCTCTCTACTATTGAACTATACATCTCCGTTCCCATATATAGACTTTTAATGTTACAAATTTCCCTCTTTTATCACATCATCTCATCCATTTTGATGTTATTATGTTCATTCACTCATTTCAAGATACTTTTGTGCATGGCATATAACATGACTTTTTACTGACTCCTTTTAATGTTTTCTTTCCATTACCATTCTCGGTAATTTGATTCTAATGAGCTTTGTTATAATTTTATTACAATTTACTCTACTTGGCCTTTGTTGAGTTTCTTCAATATGTGGTTTTAGTTTCAATCAAATTTGGAGTATTTGCTACTATCACTTTTTCCAATCTTTTTCTGTTCTCCCTCTTTCCACTAGTCAGACTCAAATTACACTTAGGACACTTGATGTTGTACCAAGGGTCACTGAGGTCTAAAATACTTCTTTTATGTATTCCAACTTTATGTTTGGACCATCTCTATTGTTATATCTTCAATTTCACTGATTTTTCCTTTTGGTGTTATCTGCTCTTAAGCTCATTGTATGAGTCACCTTTTTGTGGCTGAGACTAAAATACTTGACAAAAACAATACTAAAAGAGTTAAGTTTTATTTTGGCTCACAGTTTTAGAGGTTTCAGTCCATGGTCAGCTGGCTTTATTACTTGGGCCTGCGGTAAGGCATAACGACATGGTGGAAATGCTTGGCAGAGAAAAGATGCTCAGCTCATGATAGCCAGGAAGCAGACAGTATGTGATTACATCCCATCTTCTACAGTTTCTACTACCTCCCAATAATCTATTCAAATTATTAATCCATTGATGAGGTCAGAGCCCTCATGACCTAGTCACCTCCCAAAAGCCCCATCTCTGAAGACTGCTGCATTAGGGAACACATGAGCCTTTGGGGCCATTCCATATGCAAACTCATGTAGATCTCCCACCCCCATACTTTACCACTGAGCCAAATCCCAGTCCTTTTGATTTTTTAGAGACAAGGTCTTACTAAGTTACTGAGACTGGCTTCAAACTTGTGATCCTCCTGTTTCAGCCTCCCAAGTAGCTAGGATTACACAGGTTTGCCACCACACCTCGAGGTAATTATATTACAACCTTCAAGAAATAAGAATATGGCTGGGTGTGATATTGCTCAGAGGCTGAGGCAGGAGGACCACAAATTCAAAGTCAATCTCAAGGCCCTAATCAATTTAGTGAGACCCTGTCTGTAAATAAAAAGGGCAGGGGATGTGGCTTTGTGGTTAAGTGCCTGCCCCTGGGTTCAATCCCTAGTAACAAACAAACAAAGAATGATATGAAACCTGACCTAAATGTTGCATCTGAGGCTCGGAGTGGAGCTTAGGGTTAGGGTGCTTACCTAATATGTATGAGCCATCCCAGCACCACATTCACACATTCACATCACACACACACACAAACACACACACACACACACACTCTTTTGAAAAATATATTTATAGGGCTGGGGTGTAGCTCAGTAGAGTGCCTGCTTCACACATGCAAGGCACTGGGTTTGATCCTCAGCACCACATAAACATAAATAAATAAAGATATTGTGTCCATCTACAACTAAAAAAAAGATTTAAAAATAAATAAAAAATAAAAATATATTTATATTTGTGTGTATACACACACAGTATACACAAACACACACATATTCTGTTTAACGCTGCCATTTTGCTGGGCATAGTAGCACATGCTTATAATCTCAGCTATTTAAGAGGCTGAGGCAGGAGAATTTTTTTTAGTTCAGGAGTTTGAGGCCTGCCTGGCAACACAAAAAGACTCCATGTCTTAAAATAAATAAATGAACAGGGAAGGAGTGGGGAACTGCTGGGGAGTGATACTGCCCAAATTATATTGTTATGCATGTGCATTATGAATATGTAACAACAAATTCCATCAATATGTACAATTATAATGTGCAAACAAAAATGTGGAAAAAAAATAAATGAATGAATGAAAAGAAAAATACTCTGTTTCTCTAGGGATAATGGGTACTAAAAATAATGTCTTATATAATGAAATTTGGGGTGAATAAAGATTAGGCACTGAAATGTTTGATAAATAGCAGTGACCCTACTTAGGATCTTTTATTCAACAAATGGGACTCACTATAGGTTTGTTTGTTTGTTTGTTTGTTTTTATACTGATCTGTAATCTTTTTTTTTTTTTTAATTTTTTATTTATTTTTTAGTTTTTGGCGGACACAACATCTTTGTTTGTATGTGGTGCTGAAGATTGAACCCGGGCCGCATGCATGCCAGGTGAGCGCACTACCGCTTGAGCCACATCCCCAGCCCCATTGTTTTTTTTTTTTTTAAATATTTTTTTAGTTGTAAGTGGACACAATGCCTATATTTTATTTATTTATTTCTATGTGGTGCTGAGGATCAAACCCAGTGTGCCACAAATGCTTTACCACTGAGCTAAAATCCCAGCCTTCACTATCGTTCTTAATCTTTAAATTCCATGAGGTCAGAACAGTATCTCCATTATAGCACTATCATTCAGTATTGCCAAGCTCCTTCTGAAAGATTCTTTTAGTTTATAACCTCAAATTCTCTTATATTATATCTTTAAAAGTCAGTGTCCTTACAACCTACTACAATACACAAATGAGAAATGGGTTTCTGTGAAAGGAGAATTTCACTTGAAAAGGAAAACTGTAATTCTCTTTTTTGGTACATACGATTCTTGCTGCAGACATGTTGCATGGCCCAAACAGCCCACAGTTGGACTCCTGGTGTTGTGAAGCAGCCAAGTAGTGGGAAAAATGGATTAAAGGATCTAAAATTTCAAAAGAAAAGAATCAAAGTTACATTCTATATGTAGCGTTATTTTCTTTTTCTGATACCAGGGATTGAACTCAGGGGTACTCAACCGCTGAGCCACCTCCCCAACTCTATTTCATATTTTTCTCACCGAGTTGCTTAGTACCTTGCTTTTACTGAAGCTGGCTTTGGATTCTCGATCCTCCTGCCTCAGCTTCCTGGGCTGCTGGGATTACAGGCATGGGCCACCGCACCCGGCTTGTAGTGTTATTTTCTAAGTGGTAATTTCTAAACCTTTCATTTTAGAAATTTCACCTTGTTAATTCTAAATTAATATAAATGAATTTTAGAACATCTTTTCTTTGTCTTAGACTAATTTCAGAAAAGACTGCATTTAGATATATCTTGGTATAGAACATGAAAGGTGATTAGGACACAGAATCAAAAGAGGGGAAAAAAATCTTTCAAAAACACTTTTTTTGGTCTTAAAATACACATTTTGAACATTAAAGGATGTTGATTTAGAAATTAAGAAATGGATAAGTTAGGCGATAACTAATTGAGAATATTCTGAAGGTCTAGAATTAGCTTTTTTATTTCTACTGGTCTTCACAAAAATGGGTAAAACATAAATTGGGGAAGTCAAAAATGTTGGCATCACTAGCACTTACGAAGCAGACAACAAAAATCAGTCATAAAAAAATTAAGAAGCAATCAGGACGTGGGTGTGGTAGCATTAATCCCAGTGGCTTGGGAGGCTGAGGCCAGAGGATTGCAAATTCAAAATCAGCAAGTTAGAGAGACTGTAAGCAACCTAGTAAGACCCTCTCTCAAAATAAAAAATAAAAAGTATGAATTGGCTCAGTGGTTAACCACCCTTGGGTTCAGTCCTTGGTTCAAAAAAGGAAAAAAGAAAGAGAGAAAAGAATAAAAAGCAGCAACCAGGAATACTTTGGGTAATTTAGTAAATTGGCTATCAAGTCACTAAATTTTCATAAAGAGTTAGGAATTCAGTATGCACTTTAATTATTATAGTTTTCCTGAACAAATGTGGTATTACTTCTAGTTCTGTCAATGCTATCACGTTGTTTCAGATCTGTGTGTATTCACACATTGCTTTCTCATCCAAAAATCTCTTGCCCAACTTTAAGTATCTTCAAAACTCAGTAGTAATTCACTTCCTTTAAATATCTTCCAGTATAAGGTTAAGGACTCTTATTTTTAATTTTATAACATTCTATGCACATCTAGCATAATGGTGAATTATATAAAATTCACATTTGATCTGCCTCACTAGAGTATAAGATTCTTGTGTGCAGCACCATGTCTTGGTCATCTTTGAATTCCGAGATTAGAGACAGGGGCTGGGGTTGTGGCTCAGCGGTAGAGCACTTGCCTAGCACGTGCGAGGGCCTGGGTTCAATCCTCAGCACCACATAAAAATAAATAAATAAAATAAAATAAAGGTATTGTATCCAACTACAACTAAAAAATAAAGAGTAGAGACAAATCCTTGGGACTTATATATATAGAAAGAATGATTAATGTATAGGTGACAGAAAAATGTCAAATATTTTGCTACTTTTTTTTTTTTTTTTTGGTTGTACTGGAGACTAAACCCAGGAGTGCTCTACCACTGAGATATATAACCAGACCATCTATTTTATTTTAAAACAGAATCTCACAGCCTGGAGCTTCTGATCCTCCTGCCCCTGCCTCCTGAGTAGCTGGGATTCCTCGGGTGTGCCACCACACCACGCAAAATTTTGCTTCTTTTAAAGCCAGTACTAATAGAGAAAAATTATACATCTAATAGGGGTAATCTTGAAGTATGAAAAATGACTGATTGATTTCAGGGGCACTTGACCACTGAGCCATATCCCCAGCCCTATTTTGTATTTTATTTAGAGATAGGGTCTCAGTGAGTTGCTTAGTGCCTCACTTTAGTTGAGACTGGCTTTGAACTTGTGTTCCTTCTCCCTCAGCCACCTGGGCCACTGGGTTACAGAGCTACTGGGATTATAATATGCCCAGCTGGTCACTAGCTTTGGTCACTAGCTTTTTAATCTTTTTTTTTTTTGTGTGTGTGTGTGTGTGTGTGTGTTGCTTGGGATGGAACAAAGGGCCTCAGGCATGCTAAGCAAACAATCTAATAACTGAGCTATATCCTCGGTGCTCCCACTGGCCATTTACTAATTATCATGTTAATTACCTGTATGCTACCATTTCACACTCTGGAGTTGGCCATTTCAAAATAGCTGAATGCTAGAAGACATAAGACATACAGGAAGAATTATAATAATTATTAATGTCACATTATCATATTATAAGACTCTGATAGTTTAACCAATATGTAATTTTTCTAGAAAATGAAAAATGACCCTACCAGGTCATCAAGAAGAGAATTCCTCTGGCTACGGCTTAATGTCCAAGCTTGTTCTCCTCTTGATATTAAATGTGCAATAATTCCAGCTGCAAAGTAACTGACTTCCACTTCAACACTGTGTAGGAGACTACTGATGTGGTCTATAAAATCTTTCCACATTAATTCAGAATGCAATTCTTGAACTTCAGCTATATTGTTCTGGGAAAAAAAATAATATATAAAAATTAATGCAATACACATACTAAGTGGTTAAGGGAACTGTCTTCAGACACTGAACAACAAACAATGCCAGAAGGTGACTGCTGAGAGGAAAAGTATTCAAAAGGTGCAGTTTCCAGATTACAATGAACCCAAAGAGAACCTTGCTGTTTTGTTGAGTTGAGAAGGCAGAAGTTGTAGTTCAGGGTAGCCAAGCTGCAAAATTTTGTAAAACAGCGTATTGGAAAGGAAAGAGAGAGTGAGTATCAACAGTCAGACACATAGCTACTGGGATTATATACAGAGACAGAGTTGTATAGATGTACCCTCAAATCTTTGGCTGACTAATTATATGATATGGGGTGAAATGCCATGGGGCTGAGTTAGAATAGAAGAAGGAAGGATGGCTAGAAAGGAGACAAACTGGGAAGAAAAAAGAAACTATAATTTTAAATCTAAAACTCTCATGAGGGGCTATTGTTGTGGCTCAGGGGTAGAGCACTTCCTTAGCATACATGAAGCACTGGGTTTAATCCTCAGCACTACATAAAAATAAATAAATAAAATTTAAGTATTGTATCCATCTACAAAGAAAAACATTAAAAATAAATAAATAAACAAATAAAGCCTGCAGGAACACTCTCTCCTTCACTTGCCAGACCTGTTTTCCTCCAGGCCTGAATTTTAAATAAAGGTCCAATAAATCTTAGGGTACTGTAAATTCAATTAAATAGAACCTATATACCTTGTCAGTTTACAGAATGTATTTTTAGACAGATTAAAAGAAGCAGAGAGAGAGAAAGAGAGAATGTTAAAAAGCTATTACATGGGTACAGACTAAGTGCTATTAATTCAACTTAAAGATTCTAAAGAACCAGATCACCCAGAACGACTCTGTTCCTTGATCAAAAGAATGGAGCTCATTAGGCTGATGCTCAACACTTAACAAAGTTTCCTTTAAAAGAAGAAGCCTAAGACCCCAAAAGCGTGTCTCATTTTTTTTGTTTGTTTTGTTTTATATCAGGGATTGAACCCAGTATTCTACCACAGAGCACATCCCCAGTCCATTTTATTTTTTATTTTGATACAGGGACTAAGTTGCTTAGGGCCTCACTAAACTGCTGAAACTTGTCCTTGATCTTGCAATCTTCCTGCCTCAGCCTCCTGAGTCACTGGGATTACAGGCATGCTTTACCATAGCCAGCTGGCATCTCACTCTTGAGTGCCAACACTCCCGGTGCTTTGAGTGCATATCCTGCTCTATTGTTTGCTTTCCTGGGTAAATCTCCTTACTTTTTCTAAATAAACCTCTGCTTGTGCCTCTTTGACACATACTGAAATTCCTTTCTGCAGTGTCAAGAACCTGCCAGGGCAGAATTAAGGTCTCCACTTGAGATACACAATACTTCTGGCAAAGATTTAAAAGAGCTATTATAAATATTACTCAAGATAAAATGAAAACATAAGCATGAGGAAAAAAAAATATATAAGAAAGGGATGTGGCTCACTGGTAGAATATTTGCTTAGAATGCACTGGGTTCAATTCCAAGTACTGCAAAAATTGCTAACTTTGTGGTAATATCTTGCCAATGTTATGGGCCAGGATATATGGGAAATAACCAAACATAACTCCATTTTACCCTGAGACTCCTTGTCATGTAAGAAATGCTTTTCCCATGGGAACACCCTGCCTCTACACCCATCAACAGTTGCTTAGGATAGCATGTTTGGCAATACAAAATGGCAATTCTTATGCAATGTAAAATTGTTCTCTTTTTGATTCCCATTTTTCTTGGACAATGTACCTTGTCAAAGAATGATTGTCTAGATATTAGTAACCATTCTTTAACTTGTAGTCAACTAGTGGGCTGGTGAATAAAGATGGTTCCATCTCCTGCTTTAAGATTGACTTGGTGATTTATTGCAATCTTGCCATAACACCCAGAGGGTGATGCAGGAGGACTGCAAGTTCAAGGCTAGCCTGGACAACTAAGTAACCCCCTGTCTCAAAATAAAATTTAAAAAAGGGTTGGGGATGTAGCTTAATGGTGGATTGCTTGCTTACCCAGCATGCTCAAATCCCTGAATTCAATATTAAGTACTCCAGACAGAGAGAAGAGAGAAGAAGAGGGAAGAGGAGAGAAGAGAAGAAAGGAGAAGGAAGGGAAGAAGAGGAGAGAGGGAAGGAAAGGACAGGAGAGGGGAGGGGAGAAAGAACAAACAGGAGAAATATCAATTCCTCTCTCTCTTGGCGTATTACTGATTATACTCGGGGTGCTCTACCATTGAGCCAAATCTCAGGCCCCCCGCCTTTAAAATATATATGTATTTTTTAGTTAGACACAATATCTTTATTTTATTTATTTATTTTTATGTGGTGCTGAGACTCAAACCCAGTGCCTCACATAAGCGAGGCATGAGCTCTACTACTGAGCCACAACCCAGCCCCAGCCCCCCCTTTTTTTGAGATAAGGTTTTGCTAAATTGCCCAACTTGCCTTTGAATTTGCAATTCTCTGGCCTCAGCCTTCTGAGTACTGGGATTATTGGCGTGTGCTCCCATCACCTGTTCAGCAGCAGCTTTCAATGTATTCCCCCAGAAGGAAACAAAGAGCTTGGGATTTAACAGGAAATGTTTATATCTTACCAAAAGTCCTAGAACTTTCTGTTGAATGGATGACTCAGTTGGGAAAGACTGTAACAAAGAAAGGGAAACCTGTAATTACCCAAAGAACCAAAGATAACAAATAAATGCATAAATAAGTAAATCAATGTTAAAACAGTAGACTAAGTTCTCATTCTAACCTCCAGAACTCTCATGAAGAGTTCTAAGCCTTGGTTTTCAATAAAGTGTCTGCAAGTGGTTGGGGATTCATCTGTGAGGTTCCAAAGTGCACTCAAAGTAAACTTCAATGTAGTATCCACTGAATTTTGGTTGGTTTTCTGCTTCACTATTTGAAGAAGTTGCTAAAAGAAGTAAAACAGAATTAATTTTTCATTATTGAATTGTCATTATAATTTGTGATTTTTTGTTTTTTTTTTTTTTTTTTTTTGGTGCTAGGGATTGAACCCAGGGCCTCATACATTTTAGGCAAGTGCTCCAAACCTGAGCTATATCCCTACCCCTTTTTATTTTGAGACAGGATCTCACTAAGATGCTCAGGTTGGCCTTGAATTTGCAATCCTCCTATCTCAGCCTCCAAAGTTATTGAGATTACAGGAGTGCACCAGCATACCTAGGCCCAGTCCTTTCTTAAACATTTTGAGACAGGGTTTTTCTAAAGTGCCCAGGCTGGCCTTGAACTTGTGATCCTCCTGCATTACTGGGATTATAGGTGCAGGACTTTTTTTTTTTTTTCCTTAAACCTCCAGTACCGGGGATTGAATCTAGGTCCATTCTACACCCCAGCCCTTTCTTTTATTTATTTATTTTTTAATATTTACTTTTTGGTTTTAGGTGGACACAATATCTTTATTTTACATTTATGTGGAGCTGAGGACTGAACCAAGGGCCTTGTACCTTCTAGGCGAGCACTCTACTACTGAGCCACAACCCCAGCCCCCAGCCCTATCTTATTTTTTATTTTGAGATAGGGATTCACTAAATGCTGAGGCTGGCTTCAAACTTGCAATCTTTCTGCCTTAGCCTCCTGAGTCACTGGGATTACAAGCATGCACTACCACACTGGGCTAGATAGGACTTTGTTGTTGTTGTTGTTTTTGTACCAGGGATTAAACCCAGGGTGCTTACTCACTGAGCCATATTCCCAGCCCATGTTTTATTTTGAGACAGTATCTAAGTTGCAGGGGCTAGCTTTGAACTTGTGATCCTCTTGCCTCAGCTTCCCAAATCACTGGAATTACAGATATGTGCCACATAACCCAGCTAGATAGGATCTTATTACTATGTAGGCCCCAGGATCTTAATGCTTATGTAGGCCCCAAAGGTTCAAGTAATTTGCTTAAAATTCACAAGTAAGATTACAAATTAGAATCTAGGTCATCTTACTCAGGGCTTTCTCCATCTGTTAAGGCATGAAGTTGCTTCTTGAAAATAAATGAATACATCCATTAAGAAGTAATAAAGGGGCTGGGGTTGTGGCTCAGTGGTGTAGTGCTTGCCTTGCATGCGTGAGTCCCTGGGTTCAATCCTCAGCAACCCATAAAATAAATAAATAAAAAGTAAAGACATCAGGTCCATCCGCAACTAAAAAATATTAAAAAAAAAAAAAAAAAAAGAAGTAATAAAAAAGCCAGGTGCAGGGGTGCACGCCTATATCCCAGCATCTGGGGAGGCTGACACAGGAGGATCATGAGTTCAAACAGAGCCTCAGCAAAAGTGAAGCACAGAGCAACTCAGTGAGACTCTGTCTCTAAATAAAATACAAAATAGGGCTGGGGATGTGGCTCAGTGGTTGAGTGCCCCTGAATTCAATCCCTGGTACTCCCCCCCCAAAAAAAAAAGAAGAAATAATAAATTGTTTTAAAAAAATAGAAGCTGAGGGTGTAATTCAGTAGACCAGCACTTGCCTAGCATGTAAAAGCTCTGAAGTCAGTCCCCAGTACCAAGCTAGGCATGGTGGTGCTCACTTAGAATCCTAACTACTCAGGAGGCTGAGACAAGGAGGATCACAAGTTCCAGACCAGCGTAGACAACTTAGTGAGACTCTGTCAGCAGTAGAACATCACTGGGTTCAAACCCTAATACCAGAAAAACACACACGTGTGTACAGGTATATAGGTGTATACAGTCAGGAGATACAAAACACTGCCTGAAAATAAGAAAAATAAATAACATCTAGTAGACTGCAGAGAGGAGATAATGAGCTTACCCTGACAATGAAGAGCTCAGCACCAAGCTGTGCAGTTTGTTCTGTAGAAAGCTAGAAACAAGCATAAGACAAAGTAAATGTCCAAAAACTAATAGTGTGAGTTTACTACCATTTATTTTAATAGACTCTAAAGCCAAAATATCTGACCAACTTGGAATTCTCGAATATTTAATGCAGCTTGAATAAGTAGGCTGGCCAAGAGGCTTAATGATATTTCTAGGACTCAGAGGATGGGGGCAGATGGTAACTGTAATGGGAAACAACTTCCTATAGAAAATTATTCGGCAAGAGTTGAGGTACCTTGGCAGCTAGGATGGAAATGATAGCAACTGCCATCCTTTGCATATTTTGATCCTCGTGGTTGCAGAGCCACTGCATGACAAGCTTGGCTGCTTCAAACCTGAAAACACATATAGGGTTTCATGAGTTAATTCTGGAGGCCCGTAATTAGTTTCAGAGCTCTAGCTGGGAATTGATGCTATAACTGAAGTAGGTGAAATCAGAAAGTGAAAATTCCTCTTAACTGATAGAGAATAAACAATTACACTTAATGTTTTCTAGATGATGCCTTATTAATTCTGACATTTTATAAAGAATTAACAATTTGGAAAATAAGGTCAAAACTACATTTCATCTTCTAGAATTATCACCTATTTTATATTTCTATACTACAGGGACTTTGTTATTTTTATTTTATTTTATTTTTGGTACCAGGGATTGAACTCAGGCGCACTCAACCACTGAGCCACATACCCAGCCCTGTTGTGTATTTTATTTAGAGACAAGGTGTCACTGAGTTGCTTAGTGCCTTGCCATTGCTGGAGCTGGCTTTGAACTCAAGATCCTCCTGGCTGAGCCTCCTGAGCCACTGTAATTACAGGCGTGTGCTACCATGCCTACCTATACCACAGTGTTAATTTAAGCATTTTCTGGGCTCCTCATAGCACATAGCAAAAATAGGGACATTCATTAATTCACAAACATTTACTGAAAATCTGCTTTGTTCCAGAGTGTTCTTAGTGGTAGAGATAGAGCAGTGACCAAAGCAAAAAAAAGAAAAAAAAAAGAAATCCTTCTCATAGATTTTATATCTAGGGAAGAAGAAAAAAGACATTAAATCAGGTAAATAAATAAAATATATGGTATGGCATATACTACAAAAAATAATAAGCAGGGAAAGAGAAGATATGAAATGGTAAAATTTTATTTATGGACACTTAGTAAGTAAAGTAAAGCCTTTTTAACTTTTTGAAGAAGTATAAGAGCAAGCCACATTAATGTAAAAGGAAAAGCATTCAGGGTAGAGAGATAGGAAATTACATGGACATGAATTGTGATGCACCTGGAGGTTTTGAGAAATAGCATGGAAGCCAGTGAGGCCAGAACAGAGAAAAGCAGGGCAAGACTCTGAGATGAAGTCAGAGATGGATAACAGGGGAACCAGATAAAGAGTTTTAGTAAAGAATTAGCTTGACCTGGGTTTTAGCTCAGTGGTAGAGCTAAAACCCAGCACATACGAGGCACTGGGTTCAATCTTCAGCACCACATAAAAATAAATAAAATAAAGGTACTGTGTCTACCTGCAACTAAAGAAAATTAAAAAAAAAAAAAAAGAAAGAAATTAGCTTGCTAGGCAGTAGTGCATACCTTAATCCCAGCTACTCAGGAGGCAGAGGCAGGAGGATCACAAGTTTGAAGCAAGCTTAGGCAACATAGCACAAGACCCTGTCTCAAAATAAAAAGTTAATAGGTCTAGAGATGTAGCTCAGTGGTGGAGCACTCACCTAGCATGTGTGCTTAATCCACAGTATGCGAAAAAAAAAAAAAAAAGAATTAGCTTTTTCTCTGAATGAGATAAAAAGACATGGAAGCTTTCTGAGTACAGATATGACAGGCACTGACTAATGGTTTATTTTGTTTTTTGGTACTGTGGATTGAATCTAGGGATGCTTTCCCAAAGAGCTATATCCTCTGTCATTTTTATTTTTGATTCTGAGATAAGATTTCACTAAATTGCTGAGCTGGCCTCAAACTTGAAAACCTCCTATCTCAGGCTCCCAAGTCACTGGGATTATAGGCATGTGCCATTGCACCAGGCCCAATTCACTGATGTTTTTTAATAGGATTACTCTATTAGCTATGTGTAGAATGAGCATCAGAAGGCAAGAGACAGAAGCAGGAGAGCAGTTCAAAAGCTAGTACAATAATTCAAAAAGAAAATCACTTTTAGTCTAGTCTGGGTGGTAGAAATGTCAGTAGAGAAAAATTGTAGAATTCTGGATATATTTTGAAATAGGGATTGAACCCAGGGTTTTGTGCATGCAAGGCAAGCCCTTTACCAACTAAGCTATATTCCCAGCCCAGTAAGTCATTGTTGACTTCTCAAACCCTTAGTGTTTTATTTATAACTCAATCGGAGATCCATAATCATCCAGAGACTCACCTGAGTCCTCCCAATGGCTTGTGAGGTTCTTGAGGAAAGGAACCATATCCTATTTATATCTTTATGCCAGATACCCAATACAGTGATTAACAAATAAGTAGTGTTTCATAAATGTTGGCTGAATGATTATATTGAGATTGATGTTATGCAACTTCCCTCATTTAATGTTACCTCCTTTTATTCCCAAGGCCATCTCTGAGCAGGCATATTTTATTTTATTTGTATAGCTGTGTGGAACTGGGAATCCAATCTAGGGCTTCATGCATGTTAGGCAAATGCCCTTATCACTGAGCTGTGTTATTACATCCCCAACCCAGGGACACTTTACCACTGAGGTATATCCCCAGCCCTTTCTATATTTTACTTTGAGACAAGGTCTCACTAAGTGGTTGAGGCTAGCCTTGAATTTGCAATCATCCTATGTCAGCTTCCAAAGTCACTGGGATTACAAGTGTGTGCCACTGTGCCAAGCCCAGCCCAACCCAGCATTCTTTTTTTGGTACTAGGTATTGAACCTAGGGCCACACCCCCAGCCCTTTTTATATTTTGTTTAGAGACACAGTCTCACTAAGTTGCTTAGGACCTCATTAAATTTCTAAGGCTGGCTTTGAACTTGCAATCCTCCTGCCTTGGCCTCCTGAGCCCCTAGGATTACAAGTATATTCCAACCCAGCAGTTTTAGATTTATAAGGTGGTTCTGTTTCCATTGCTTTCCCTTCAGTTTGTGTCTGCATGTTAGCAGTAAACTTGTCACAGAACTTAGGCATGATGTTGCTACTGTACAGCATTATAGAATTCTAGGATGGATCCACACTTTCAAATCTTTGCTTCTTCTTCTTTTTTTTTTTTTTTTTTTGCTACTAAAGATTAAACTCAGGGTTTCAGGAATGCTAGGCAAGTACTCTACCACTGAGGGACATCCTCAACCCTTTTTATTTTGAAAATCTCAGCTAGCCAATCCCTAAAAAAAAAATGCCAAATGTCTTCTTTGATATAAGGAGAGTAACTAAGAACAGAGTAGGGACGAAGAGCATGAGAAGAAGATTAACATTAAACAGGGATGAGAGGTGGGAGGGAAAGGGAGAGAGAAGGGAAATTGCATGGACATGGAAGGAGACCCTCAGGGTTACACAAAATTACATACAAGAGGAAGTGAGGGGAAAGGGAAAAATAATACAAAGGGGAGAAATGAATGACAGTAGAGGGGGTAGAGAGAGAAGAGGGGAGGGGAGGGGAGGGGAGGGGAGGGGAGGGGGGATAGTAGAGGATAGGAAAGGCAGCAGAATACAACAGACACTAGTATGGCAATATGTAAATCAATGGATGTGTAATTGATGTGATTCTGCAATCTGTATACGGGGTAAAAATGGGAGTTCATAACCCACTTGAATCAAAGTGTGAAATATGATATATCAAGAACTATGTAATGTTTTGAACAACCAACAATTAAAAAAAAAGAAAAAGAAAAAGAAAATCTCACTAAATTGGCCACGATGACCTTGAACTGTGATTCTGCTGCCTCAGCCTTCAGAGTTGCTAGAATTACAGCTGTGCACTACCATGCCCGGCTAAGTGTATAGATTTTGAAGCCAGGTTTTGACTTCCAGTTACTCAATGATAATAATAAAATGAATTATTTTATCATGTAAAGCAATGCAGTCAAATCATTAAGAGCATCATATACTTTGGAGTCAGCCCGGATTCGAATACCAGTTTTATCACTTAGTAATTTTGGGACCCTGGTAAATTCCTTAATTCCTCTGAACTTCAATATTTTTATCTGTAAAATAACAACAAAAACATTCCATAAGGTTGCTGTGAGGATTAAACATCACATGGACTGGGATATAGTTCAGTGACAGAGCATTTGCTTAGTATAAGCAAGGCCCAGGGTTTGATTCTCAGCACTGCAAATATGCAAATAATAATAATATCACATACAAGCTCACAAACTTAGTACAAAACTTGTGACATAATAAGTTCTTGATAAAGGTTAATTTTTACTAGTATTATTATTATTTACTCTTTTTGTGCTTTTATTCATGCAATTTCTACAACATAAAACAACTCTATCATACCTTATCTTTAAAACTATTTATATATTATGGATATAAAAAGTAGAGACTCTGAAGTCAGCCTGGATTTATATTTTTGTTTGTTTGTTTTTTATTTTATTTTTTGCAGTGCTGGAGATCAAATCCAGGGCCCCTGCATACTAGGCCACACTCTTACCACTGAGCCACATGCCCAGCCCACCAGTCTAGATTTAAATCTATACTACTCTAGTTATTATCTTCATTACCTTGAACTTGTTATTAAGCCTTTCTGTGCCTGTCTCCTCATCTATAAAATGAACATAAGAATAACAATATTACTGATTGTTGTAAGGACTGACTAAGCATATGAAAAACATTTGGGAATGGTGCGTGACGCATTCATTATTATTATATCAAGTGCCATCACTAACATGAAGATGTTTTTTTTTTCCAGTGCTAGGAATTAAACCCAGGGCTTTGCACATGCTAGGCAAGTGCTCAACCTGAGCTACCTCCCAGCTCTTTTATTTTGAGGCAAGAATCCCACTAAGTTTCCCAGGCCTGCCTCAGCCTCCTGAGTAGCTTGTATTGTAGGTATGCATGAGCTTAGTTTCAATGATCACCAATCATATATCACCTTTCTTTCCTTGCTTGGGGTTCTAGTGAATTTTTCCAACATCTCTTCTATGAAAACTTCTGTCTCTTGTTATACTCATTTAGTTACTCATCCACCCATCCATTAAATATTCACATAAACACTAGAGACAGGACTGGGGTTGTGGCTCAGTGGTACAGCACTTGCCTACCATCTGTGAGGTACTGGGTTCAATTCTCAGCACCGCATATAAATAAATGAATAAAATAAAAGGCCCACCATCATCTAAAAAAATATTAAAAAAGAAAAACAAAAACACACACCAGAGCCAGGTGCGATGGTACACGCCTGTAATTCCAGCAGTACAGGAGGCTGAGGCAGGAGGATCTCAAGTTCCAAGCCAGCCTCAGTAACTTCAAGGCACTAAGCAACTCAGTAAAAGCCTGTTTCTAAATAATACACAAAATAGGGTTGGGGATGTGGCTCAGTGGAGTGCCCCTGCCCCTGGGTTCAATCACTGGTAACCAAACACACACACACACACACACACACACACACACTAGAGACAAAAAGATGAATCAGTCACAGCCTCTGGCCACAAAGAAGCTCAATTCTAACACGATGCATTGGCTAGAACAGAGGGAGGCAAACTATAACCTGTGGGCCAGGCTGCCTGTTTTGTAAAGTTTGTTGGAACTGATCCCACTCATTTGTTTACATATTGTCTATGGCTGCTCTTTACAATGAGTTAAGTTTTTTCAATAGAGACCCTATAGCCCACAGCCTAAAATATTTATAATTTGGTTCTTTAAGAAAACTTGCCAGTACTTGGGCTAAATTTTAATCTTCTTTAGGAGAGTGAGAAAGTCTTTCCCACCTTTGATTTCATTTCAACCATAGGCATAGAGGTTCGGTGTTCACAAAATAAAATTAGCAATCTACCCCGAGACATAGTTATATTTTTATACAAATATTTATTTCCAATAATAGATGCAATGCCTCATCCCTTAGCCATACCAGATAACAGTGTACTCTATATCCAAATAAAAGTAAATCATGGCTGGTTGTGATGGCTTGGGAGATCAATGGCTTGGGAGGCCAAAGCAGGAGGATCACAAGTTCAAAGCCAGGCTCAGCAACTTAATAAGGCTCTCAGTAACTTATATCCTGTCTCTAAATAAAATTTTAAAAATGGGCTGGGGATGTAGCTCAGTGGGTAAGCACCCAGGAGTTCAATTCCCAGTATCAAAAATAAATAAATCTCGGGTTGGGGTTATGGCTCAGCGGTAGAGCGCTCACCTCACACGTGCGAGGTCCTGGGTTCGATCCTCAGCACCACATATAAATAGTTATTGGGTTCAACTACAAATACAAAAATAAATATTTAAAAAAATATAAATAAATCAATCTCAATAAAATTGCCGCTCAAGAAACGTGCTTCATTAAGTCATAAATTTCCTTTTCAAAATGCCATCGTTAAAAGAATGTTTAAATAGTAAAATGAAGGAAAAAAAAAATTACTGTTTTTTGTTTTTTTTTATTTTTTAGTTATCGGCAGACACAACATCTTTATATGTGGTGCTGAGGATCGAACCCGGGCCGCACGAATGCCAGGCAAGCACGCTACCGCTTGAGCCACATCCCAGCCCCAAAAATTACTGTTAAAACTCCCAAAGTACAACTTAAGACAACAAGAGACCCTTTTACATGTAATGGAATCCGATTACATTGCTTCCATTAGCCTCTGCTTAAAATGTTTCTTCCATAATTTAATACTGAATAATGATAATAATAAAGAGGTTTTTTACAGAGAAAAGAACTAGAAGGCCTGAGTCTTTCCAGCATTGCAGTCATCAGTCACAAAACCACAGGCAAGGCACTGAACCTAAGACTTAGTTTCTTCATCTTTCTTTTTTTTTCAGTACTGGGCTCAATTCCCAGTACTGGGTGGCATTCTACCACTGAGCTATATCTCCAGTCCTTTTTAATATTTTTTAATTATTTTTTGGGGGGGTGGTGCTGGGGATTGAACCCAGGGTTTTATGCATGCCAGGCAAGCATTCTACCAACTGAGCTTTATCTCCAGCCCAAACATTTTTTTTTCATTTTGACACAGGGTCTTACTAAGTTGCTAAGGCTGGCCTGGAACTTGTGATACTTCTGCCTCAGCTTCCCAAGTCACTAAGATTATAGGCATGCACCACTGTGCCCAGCCGGGCTCTTCAACTTTTAAATGGGGATAATAATACTAATAGCACACAATATTATGTGGATACTTTGCAAACTATAACCAATATAATTTATTTTATAAATATAAAATAAAGGGGGCTGGGATTGTGGCTCAGTGGTTAGAGTGCTCGCCTGATATGATGCACTGGGATTGGATCCTCAGCACCACATAAATTGTGTCGATCTAAAACTAAAAAATAAATATTTTTTAAAAATAAATAAATAAATATAAAATAAGGGCCAATAAGCTCTTGCTAATGTCAAAAGCATTAAATCTGAGAAAGATTAAGCATTCTTTAAATGAGTCAACCACAATTCCATCTACTCAATTAATCTTACCTCAAGGATATCCTAACCAATAAGAAATGACCCAAGACAGAATTCTAAAATTCCAAATTTTAATTTTTATGGCTATCACTTGCCTGTTAAATGGAACATCTTGAAGGATCCGGTCACTGCAAAGTGAAAGGAGGCAATTCTTCTGTAACTAAAGAATCAAAGGAAGAAAAAAAAATCCTAAATAAAACATCACTCTTTATTTGCTTATTTGGTTTTTAGTTTTTTAGGAGGGAGTCCTGGGGATGGAAACCAGGATCTTATTCATGCTAGGCAAATGCTCTATCACCAAGCTATACTCCAGTCCTTAAATTTTGATATAGGGTCTTACTTTACTGCCCAGGATGGCCCTGAATTTGATATACTCCTGTCTCAGCCTTCCAAGTAGCTGGATTACAGATGTGTGCAATTATGTAATAATGTGTGCCACTGCGCAGAACTCTTAGCTTTTTTTTTTTGGCAGGATGGGATACTTAGATTAAACCAAGGGTGCTTTACCACTGAGCTACTTCCCCAGCCTTATTTATTTATTTGTTTATTTTGAGGCAGTGTCTCACCAAGTTCTTCAGGGCCTTGCTGAATTGCTGAAGCAGGCCTCAAACTTGGGACCCCTCTGCCTCAGCTTCCGCTGGAACACCATGCCTGCCAGCTCTGTTATCTTTTATTAGAAAAGGAAGAAAACTGATGGAATACTAGTTACTTCTTACAACCTTCATTCTGCCCATCTATTTATTTTGTTTTGTTTCTGTGGTGCTGGAAATCTAGACCAGGTCTGTGCACAAGTAAGGCAAGTGCACTACCACTGAGCCACATCCCCAGCTCCTTTGCCTGTCTATTGTTGAAATATGGACTTTCACTGGGCCCATGTAAATTTATTAGCACTTTTTTTTGTCTTTTCCATTATAGGAGAAATAGAATATAAACACCATAATATCAGTTAATTTCCCTCCTTTCATGTAGTCCATCAAGTAACCTTGTCTTTTTGTTTTCTGAAATGGAAAATATGACAAAAATGATGGCTGATGGGGCTGGGGATGTGGCTCAAGCGGTAGCGCGCTCGCCTGGCATGCGCAGGGCGCTGGGTTCAATCCTCAGCACCACGTAAAAATAAAATAAAAATGTTGTGTCTGCCGAAAACTAAAAAATAAATACTAAAAAATTCTCTCTCTCTCTTTAAAAAAAAAAAAAAATGATGGCTGAAGGGGGGCGCTGTAGCTCAGTGGCAGGGTGCTTGCTTAGCATGCATGAGGCAATGGGTTCAATCCTCAGCACCACATAGAAATAAATAAATAAAATAAAATAAAGGCATTCTGTCTATCTACAAATACAAATAAATAATTTTTTTAAAAAATGATGGCTGAAAATTCTGCCTGGTGATATAGCATCAAGAAATTCAAGCCAGCCTAACTCTAACCTAGAATATATGGGGCTAGTGTTTTACACTTTGGCCTTTAAAGAAAGACTGACTGATATACTTGGCTCTGTCTTAAGTTTAGACTAGTACCATTAAACAAGAGTAAATGAAAATATGAATCATTCACCAACCAGTAAAAGTACACCATCATAACAGAAGGGTGATTCAGGTTATTCCTGTGAAGCAAAATAATAACTTTTAAGGTGTGGGTTTAAAAATTTTGTTATTTTGTATGCACTAATTAATTTTTAATTTGGGAAAATGACTTTTTAATACTTTAGAAATTTTTCATTGTAGTCAGTTGGGAGACCTCTTACCTAAAGAAGACAATATAAAGAGCTCAATCACAGAAAACAAAACTCAGATTAATGGGCCATTTAAAGCTAGTCAAGAAACAGCAAAACAGATATAAAATCAACATGTTACTTGTTTCATAGAAGATGTATCGAGATAGGAGGAATTTCACAGAAAAGACAAAATAGCACTAATCTCAGATAAATGACACTGAACAAGTCAGGTCTAAGAATAATTAATTAAGAGAGTTTCTCAGGAAATTCTATATTCACTACAAGTAGTCAAGGTGATAGGAAAGACTTGGCCTGAGTTACCTCCCCTGAAATCTGAATCATTATCTGGCACATGAGTGAGTAGCAGGTACCTTGCCTCCTATGTCACCTTTCTTCTCATTTTTCTCCCCAAATAAACAATAATTTGTACAGGATCCACTGAAATAAGAGAGACAATAATGCTATTCCAATTACCTCTGCATGGAAAGCCCATACCTCTTCCTCCTTTACCTGGAAAACTCCTAATTTTTTTTCACAATTCAGCTCAAGGCAGATATTACATCTTTGAGGAAGACTTCTTAATTTTCAAATTGACCTAAATGATTCTTCTGTGTCCTCAGCATTATAGGTAGAACAATTAAATCTGAAATTCTTGGTTCCAAAAAATGGTTAAGATTTCAAAGCTTTTCAGATTTTGGAATATTTGCTTAAAATTTAACAATTGAGCATTCCTAATCTGAAAATCCAGAATCCATAATGCTCCAAAATCCAAAACTTTTTGAGCGTCACATTAGTGTCAAAAATTTTAGTTTTCAAAAGATTTTTGGATTTTCATATTAGGAATGCTCATGCTATACTTACTTCTATCTCAGTACTTGCTGCACTGTGCTACATTATGTGTTCCTGTGTTTGGATTTGTAGAATTTGGCCCAGAGACACAAATTCTGAATTGAATAAAAAGACATGAAGTTTAACTAAACTAATGTCTTAAACTGGTAATAGAAGAAAAAGCTTCAGTGGATCTATGTCTTACTACCTCTGAAAAGCACCACAGGCAAACGAGAGGTAAGATACTTGCTGTATTCTTCAAGTTCTACTCAGCTAGAATTTGGGCTTCTGGGGCTATGGTTTGAAATTTCAAGTATTCAAGAATTTTCTATATGGGCATTTACCCAATCTAGTCATCTGGCTACACCCTACACTGTTCTTCCTACACTCTGGTCACAAGCAACTTGGTCTTCCTGGAATGGCCTGCACATTCACATACGTTTCCACTGTTTTACTCAGATGTGAAATCCTATCTAGTTTTCAAGATACGATTTCACCGGGGACAATGGCACATGCCAGTAATCCAAGAGATTTGGGAGGTTGAGGCAGGAGTATCATCAGTTCAAAGTCAGCCTCAGCAACATAGCAAGACTCTAAGCAACTTAGCAAGACCCTGTCTCAAAAAAAAAAAAAAAAGTGCTAGGGATATGGGTCAAGGGTTCAATCCTTGGTACCAAAAAAAAAAAAAAAAAAAAAAAGTGATTTCAATGTCACCATCTCTTTGAAGTCTTGTCATGTATCTTTGTCCACACACCAATCTAGCTGGTAGAACTATTAATTTTCCTCAGGTTTCTGTGACATTTAATTACAGGTGTTTTATTTGTTGTTTGAGACAAGGTTTTGATATCTTGTCCACCCTGGCCTTGAATTCCTGAGTTCCAGCAATCCTCCTGCCTCTACCTCCCAAGTAGCTGAGACTTCAGGCATGTACCACCACACTCCACTAAATTAAATCATTTTAAATGTTATTATTTTATACTGAATACAGAAAAATACTTACTAAATGTATGTGGGTATAAAGCAGTGCATACAAATCAACTGTAAATCTTTACAGAATGATTCAGTGGCTTAGAGCTCAAGATGCTGTATTACTAAAAACCTTAAAGGCAATAGGCAGAACGCACTTTGAGTAACAGGTGCATAAAGAGTAACAATACAGGGATGGGGTTGTGGCGCAGTGGTAGAACTCTTGCCTTGAATATGTAAGGCATTGGGTTCAATTCTCAGCACCGCATATAAATAAATGAATAAAATAAAGGTTCATCAACAACTAAAAAAAAATTTTTTTTAAAGAATAAGAATACAACAAATACCTGTGTACCTACCACTCAGTTTAAGAAAACAAATGTATCACCAATAGGACCATTTACAAAATCTGTTTCCTCCCCTTGTTTCACTCTCATTTCCCCTGAGAGGAATCACTGTGTTTAGCAGTCCCTTACTTTAAAAAACAAAACAAAACAAAACTTATCTATTTATTTATTTAAATACTGGGGATTGAACCCAGGGGCACTTTACCACTGAGCCACATCCCCAGCCCTTTTTATTTTGTACTTTGAGATAGGGTCTCACCAAGTTGCCCAGGCAAGCCTTAAATTTATGATCCTCTGCCTCAGCCTCCCATGAATTGCTGAGACTACAGGCATGAACCAGTGCACCTGGAAGGTTTTTTGGTTTTGGGTTTTTTTTGTACTGGGGATTTAATCCAGGAATGTTTACCTCTGAACTACATCCCCAATCCTTTTCATTTTATTTTGAGACAAGGTCTTACTAAATTGCCTATGTGGAGCTCAAACTTCTGATCGTCCTGCCTCAGCCTCCCAACATACCCAAGACTACTGTATGCACGATCATACCTGAATCCTAATTTTTTAATTTAAATCTTCTCATTTTTTTCTTGATCAATTTTGCCAATGATTTATTATTATTAACAAGTACAAATATATAATTCTTGGCTTTGTTAACCTTCTCTAATCCAATGGTACATGTGGGTTTTTTTCATTAATTTTTATTCTTTTTTTTTTAAAGAGAGAGAGAGAGAGAGAGAGAGAGAGAGAGAGAATTTTTTTAATTTTTATTTTTTATTTTTTGGCGGACACAACATCTTTGTTTGTATGTGGTGCTGAGGATCAAACCCGGGCCGCACGCACACCAGGCGAGCGCGCTACCACTTGAGCCACATCCCCAGCCCCAATTTTTATTCTCTTTTTATAATTTCCTTCCTTCTACTTTGTTTTGAGTTTATTATCTTGTTTAAAACAAACAGGTTTATTCTTAGCTTTCTTCTACTAAGGGCAAATCCTTTTGGTGGGGTGGTAAGAGATTTATGTGTGGGGTCTTTCTTTTGTCATTTGCTTTCTAGAGGCTATGAAAACCAAAGCCTAAATTTCCTCTTGTTTGGCAACTGCTCTCAATGAGTGAATCTGGCTTTAATAGTTCAGTGACGAGTTTAAGGCTGTTATTTTTACTTGTTTTGGGGCCTCTGAGTTTTGTTTTTGCTGTTTTACTAATATGCCACTTACTGCTCAATTTCAAAAGAGCTAAATAATTCAAGTAGCATTTTTAGTATTTATCCTGAGAATAGGACATGTCATTTGGTCTACTATACAACTAGAAAAAGAAAACATATGTCCTACTCATTTCTGTTTGTACTGGGGGTTGAACCCAGAGGTGCTTAACTACTGAGCCATATCCTCAGCCCTTTTTTATATTTTTTTGAGACAGGATCTTCTCGAGTTGCTTACGCCTCGCTAAATTGCTGAGACTTGCTTTGAACTTGCAATCCTCCTGCCTCAGCCTCCCAAACCTGCTGGGATTACAGGCATGCACCACCATGCCCAGCTCTCCTACTTATTTCTACATCTCAGTATTTGACAGTGCCTAGTCCAAAATAAATCCTCCATGACTATTTACTGAAATTATTAAAACTCAAGATCTAGATGAAGGTGAGTTTTGTATGGTCTGCACTATTTCCCCCAATATATAGATTCTAAGGATGGAATTTATGCCTCACTTGTTCACTTCTCTATTGTCCTATACCGAGTCATACCACAAATTTATTACTGTACTGTTTCAAAAGGTATTTGAGCTTCTAGCCTTGGTTTGTTAAACTGAACTATATGGAGGTAGGAGATGGGTAAAAGGAGAAGCTAGAAGGCTTATTTGTATGGGAATTCACAGGAGCTTACCTGCTGGTGATTGGGAAAATGTTCCATGGCTTTGAGCAGCAAATGGGTTACATCAGCCAGGAGTCGAACAGGCATTCCTGCAGCAAGATCCTGCTTGGTTAAATTAAATACACAGGCGCTTGCAGCCAGTTGCACTGGCAAATTCATAGGGTGATTTCTCATTCCAGTAACTACAAGCTGAAAAATAATTAGTTCTCTTAATTTATCTTATAAATGCAAGCCCTTTTCACACCAAATTTAATTCATTGATCTATACTAATTTCAAAGATGTCTTAACTATGTTTTTTATCCTCGTGTGCAAAGAGCCTAGGATATTAGTAGTTACTCATAAACAGTTCCTGCTCACTTGGTCAAGGTAGATATCCAGTTCTTTGTATCTAGAGATTTTCCTGTACAGCAGATCTTTTCAACACATGTAATAAGATCTATTTGTAATCCTAAAACCTACTATATGGAAAGCAGTGAATGAATTTTCACTGACTTGAATGGTGACAAATTGTACCTTCAATTCCCAACTTTCCCCTCTTTGAGAAGAACACTGCTGAAGTTGTAATACAATAGAATCCATTCATTTCCTCCTGGCCTAGACAACTATTCCTCACCTTTCCCTTTCTCCTTAACCTCCCCAAGTCCTCCCCATTCCTCATTATCAGTGGAAGACATTGTTTTCAACTATACTAAGAAAACTGAAGCAATCAGGCAAGAACTTCAGATTTTCACTATTAAATGTTACCCTCTTACCTGCACACAGACATACATATGCAACCTTCTTACTGTTACCATAAATGATCTTTTTAGGCTTCTCTTTAAAGTTTATGCCTCCATTTATAAGCTAAATCATTCCCTTCTTTTCTACTCAAAGATATCACTTCAGCTGATCTCTGACACCTACATCAATTTTTTCTTTCTGTGCTGGGTCATTCATATGACCATACAAACAAGCTACTATTTTTCACTTCTTAAGAAAACAAAGCAAACAAAACTCTATTTAGTCAATTATCACTTTTTTTCTTTGTTATCTTTTGGAGCAAAATTCCTTATACAAAACACGTATATTTTAAAATTTCTACTCGTTCCATGAATAAATGAATGAGTTTTTTTTTTTCTAATTAATGGGTATGTCAAAAAAAAGACAATGCATATACAACGCATATACCAATATCCTCTAGTATCTATGGAGGGACTGACAAATCTTGGGGATAATATATTAAGGAATGAAATGTTACCGGTTCCTATCCAAGCACCATGTTTTCAAAATTTAAGATAGTTAGGAATTCAAATCAGTTCTGGCTCTGCCACTGACTTATTATTACTTAACCTTCTAGACCTTCAGTTTCACAATCTGCAAAATGATAAAATCTATTTCTTCAGATTGTTGTGCCCACTAAAAGAAGTTATTAAATATAATATAGTCCTATACTCACTATTCTTCAGAATTCAATGTGCATTAGAAATATCTTAATGGGTGGGTACTGGGGCTGGGGCTTAGTGGCAGAGCACTTGCCTGGCACATGTGAGGCACTGCGTTCAATCCTTAACACCACATATAAAAATAAGCAAACAAAATAAAGTCATGCTGTCCAACTACAAAAAAAAAAAAGAAAAAAGAAAGAAAGATCTTGTGGGCTTCTCAGGTGTGGTGGCATACACCTGTATTCCCAGGTACTTGGAGGTCTGAAGCTGGAGAATCCCAAGTTTGAGGCCAGTATGGGCAACTTAGTGAGAACCTATCTCCAAATAAAAAAAGGCTGGGGATGTAGCTTAGAAATTGATTGCCCTGGGTCAACTCCCCAGTACTGAAGAAAAAAGAAAACATCTTGAGGGTTTATTAAAATGCAGATTCATGTACCCATCTATCCCTATCAAATTTAAATTTCTTTGTGAGATTCACAAATATAATTTTTTTATAGTATTGGAGAATTGAACCAAGGGGTGTTTTAGCACTGAATATATCCACAGCCTTTTCATTTTTTATTTTGAGATAGAGTCTTGCTAAGTTGCCCAAGCTGGCCTTAAACTTGCTATCTTCTGTCTCAGTTTCCCAACTCACTGGGTTTACAGGCTTCTACCACCGTGCCTAGTCACAAATGTGATTTTCATTTCAGATTTTTTGGTACCAGAGATTGGTAGTTCTACCACTGAGCTACATCCCCAGTCCTTTTGATTTTTCATTTTGAAAAAGGGTCTTATTAAGTTGCATGGGAAAATGGCATAAAAAAATGCATTAAGGAATTCTCATATTGCATTTCTAAAAAAATTCTTTAAGTGGGAAGCAATACAAGGCTGATATACAATGCAGTGTACTGATTCCAGTCATATACTTTCATTTTTTGGGGGGGGGCGGGGGGATATCAGGAATTAAGCCCAGGAACACTTAACCACTAAGCCATATCCACAGAGCCCTTTTTATTTTTTATTTTGAGACAGGGTATTGCTAAGTTGATGAGGCTGGTTTTGAATCTGCGATCCTCCTGCCTCAGCCTCCCAAGTCACTGGGATTACAGGCATGGACCACAGTGCCCAGATTATTTTCATTTTTTACTAGAGCTGGTGATAAAATGTCAGCGTGATCTCTAGTTTTAGGCAGTTGAATATTACTAGAAAGCATTTACATTTCTTAATGAGACCTTCATACAACTTCCATTACACTAGGCAGCTTTCATTTATAGCTAATAATTGAAATCACAGATCATTAATTCCATTATAAATAAAAATTAAAGACTAAATGCAAATTTTCTTAGAAAATCCTCATCTACCAGGGAGATAGTTTCAAATTTTTCATAACTCTTACCTTTAAAATTTCTGGTTTTGTTTTTTCCATCACATGAGTCAGGCTAAAAAGGTGAAATAGAGCTTCTCGGACAAAAAATGCCCTTTCGCTGTACCGCTTCAGTGCTTCTGCAATCTGAGTTTCATTGGCTTCTCCAGACACCTTTGAACACAACCAAAAGATTAACTTTCAGACTTCTTTTCAACCCTCTACATTTCTCTATCTAAACAACCACTCTAAAGATGACATCCAGGATAGTCATGTAAGACGAAACAAATGGGAATGATTACTTTCTAACCCATCCTGAATAGTCATCCTAAAGAGATGTACATTAAATAGGCTCAGAACCAAGTATAAACCGATAGGGAAAATTTTCTGTATTGTACCTAAAATAAATTTCAAGATATTTAACACTATTTATAAGGCCTTACCATGCCATGAGGTTCTTATCTGCCTCTTTGTGTGATACCGAAGACTAAACCCAAAGGCACTTTACCACTGAACTACATCCCTCAGACTTTTTTATTTTTATTTATTTATTTTTGACACAGGGTCTTGTTAAATTACCAAGGCCTGGGTTGGGGATGTGGCTCAAGTGGTAGCGTGCTCGCCTGGCATGCGTGCGGCCCAGGTTCGATCCTCAGCACCACATACAAACAAAGATGTTGTGTCCGCCGAGAACTAAAAAATAAATATTAAAAAATTCTCTCTCTCTCTCTCTAAAAAAAAAAAAAAAAAAATTACCAAGGCCTGGAACCTGTGATCCTCCTGCCTCAGCCTCCACAGTAGCTGGGATTACAAGTGTGTGCCACCATACCGGGTGTCTCTTTTACAGGGGTAGCGGGTGCTGGGGATTGAATCCAGGGCCCTATGTATCTCATGCATGCTAGGCAAGCAATCTACCATGGGCCTATACTCCCAGCCCACTTACCTGCCTTTTAATGTAACTTTTTCCCCCTTGCTCACAATGCAGCATCAACCCTTTTTTTTTTTTTAAATATTCGTTTATTTTTTAGTTGTTGTTGGACACAATATCTTTACTTATTTGTATGTGGTGCTGAGGATCGAACCAAGGGCCTCACTTGTGCTAGGCAAACACTCTACCGCTGAGCCACAACTCCAGCCCGCAGCATCAACCCTTTTTCTAATTTTTCATTAAGCTAAGCTCTTTCTCAACAAAATACCATTATAAATAATAATAAACTCTGAAACCTTCCATTCTCTCTTTGCTTGACTAATTTCTAATTATCCTTCCTAACTCAATCACTTCTTTTTTTTTAATATTTATTTTTTAGTTGTAGGTAGACACAATACCTTTATCTTATTTTTAATGTGGTGCTGAGGATGCATGAACCAAGTGCCTCATGCATGCTAGGCAAGCAACCTCTAAACCACAAACCCCAGCCCCTCAATCACTTCTTTAGAGACCTTCTGATCTAAGTCATCTCTTTCATAGCTATTATAATCTTCCCACTAGACTGACCCATTCACCACTGTGCCCCATGTCTAGCATTATGCTTAGCTCAAAATAAGCACAATAGGTATTCATCAAATAAATTTATTAATTTTCCAGATTTTTCAAGCTCTCTAAGAGGTCTGTTCAAAATTAAGTCTACGTAGGAATTTTTTATTTATACAGGTTAACATACTTATCTTAAACTGTGATTCAGGTACCATTGGATTACCAAATATAAATAACAGGAAGTGGCTCTTGTAAAAGTAATCCAACTATAAGTAGAAAAAAAAAAAAGACTAAAATATCACCATAATCCCCAGTGAATTAATAGTTCTAGGTATTGAGCTCCAATAGCTGTTAATATTACAGAAAAAAATAACAATTTTTTTCATTAGCACCAAAAATAATAACAACATAAATAATCAAATACTTAAACTCAATAACTAAGTTTCATATATGAGATATTCATACTGGAAAAATGCAGCTTTGAAGAAATGAAAGAATGTATCATAGGTGACATTTCAACCATTGAAATGATATACCACAAAGGTCTAAAATGAATTGGACTGTAATACTGACATATGCCAAGTGACACAAGGGTACACATTAAGTGTTTTTAATATTATAGAGACAACAATGGAAGTTCCTCTTTTTTTTTTTTTTTTAAACACATTTGGAAATTGAACCCAGGGGCACTCTACCACTGAGCTATACCCCCAATCCTTTTGTTATTATTTATTTGCTTACTTAGTCTGTTTTCAGTACTAGAGGTTTAACTTAGGGGTGCTTTACCACTAGTCCTTTTAATTTTTTATTTTGAGATTCAGTCTCACTAAATTGCTGAGGCTAACCTCAAACATGTGATCCTCCTACTTCAGCCTCCTGCTTCACTGGAATTATAGGTATGCACCACCACGCCAAGCTACAAAATGACTTTTAGAGTTTCTATTTATGCATAATACACACAAAAAAATTGATTTTGACATAAATAAGCAGTGATAAAATTTTTCAGTTTGTTCAGTTCTTTTTGAAGCACCCTGAACTTTTTCTTGTAGGTTCAGAAACACACTGAAATGTGAAATGAAAAAGACTGCAAGAAGTAAAATATTTAACAATAATCTCAGTTGAACTTCATTTACTCATATTTGGTTGTTTCAACCACTTTGTAAATTTCCTATATTAATTACAACCTCAAATTACATTTCAATACAAAACTAAAGAACTTTTAATTACTGGAATATTAAAATCTTTAAACAATTTCATGTTTTATTTAGTGATCAACACTCCTCTAGCTACTAATAAACCCTCAAATTGTGTAATCTGGGTCTTAAAACTATGATCATCTTCAATCAATTTCATTTGCTAAGTCAAAAAATAAGTACCACTGTGCATGGTGACACCTGCCTGTAATCTCAGCAGTTTGGGAGGCTAAGGCAAGAGGAATTCAAGTTTAAGGATAGTCTCAGCAACTTAGTGAGGACTTAAGCAACTTAGTGAGACCCCATCTCAAAATTTGAAAAATAAAAATGGCTGGGGATATGACTCAGTGGTTAAGTACCCCTGGGTTCAACATCCAGTGCCCAAAAAAAAAAAAAAACTATCTTAGGGGGTCATGGGAAGAATGGAGGAACTTTGGATTGGGCAAAGGGGAGGGTAGGTTATGAGAGTAGGAAAGATGGTGGAATGAGATGGACATCATTAGCCTAGGTACATGTATGATTGCACGAATGGTGCACCTCTACACCGTGTATAACCAGAGAATTGAAATATTGTGCTCTATTTGTGTATGAGAATTGAAATGCATTCTGCTGTCATGTACAAATAAAAGTAGAAGTAGAACAAATAAATAATAATTAAAAAAAAGAACTACCACAAAAATGTATCTTTGTATACTAGTTTTTTCAAACTGTTTAAAAATAGAGAAACAATTCTTAGCCACTAAATTAAGCCTTACTAATATATGGATTAAAACTAAGTTTTAACATACTTACAACAAATTTTCTTACATACTAAAAACAATTTTTATTTTTCAGTGCTGGGGATTGAAGCCAGAACGTCATACTAGGCACATATTCTACCACTATGCTAAACCCATAGCCTATAGTTGGGACTACAGGCACTCACCATCTCATCAGAGACAAAAGAACAAATTGTCTTATAGTACTCCACATAACTGTATTGAAGCTTTTTATTTTTAAACTGGGAACTGAACCCAGGAGTGCTCTATCCGTGAGCTACTTCCCGAACCCTTTTTCCTTTATATTTTTGAGATAGGGTCTTGCTAAATTGAAGATGCTGGCCTCAAATTTGCCATCCTTCTGCCTCAGGCTCCTGAGTAGTTGGGAATTCAGACATCTGCCACTGCACCTGGCAAAAAAAGCTATTTTTAAATTTGTCTGTCTCCTCTCCACTAGACTAGCATTGAAGAGCTAGACATCCCCCCAACATCTGTTTTTCTTTCTTTCTTTCATAATACTGGTGATTGAACAGTGAAGTTCTACTACAGAGCTATGCCCCTAGCCTCTTCGTTTTTTCTTTTTTTTCCCCCAGGGCTAAGGACTGAACCCAGGGCCTTGCGCAAGCACTCGGCCACTGAGCTAAACCCCCAAGCCCCCTTTGATTTTATGTGTTTTTCTATTTTTTTAATTTATTTGTACCAGGGATTGAACCCAGGGGTGCTTAACCACTGAGCACATCCCCACCCCACCACCCTTGGTTTTGTTTTGTTTTGGGTACCAAGGATTGAACTCTGGGGCACTGTTGACCACTGAGCCACATCCCCAGCCTTATTTTGTATTTTATTTAGGGACAGGGTCTCACTGAGTTGCTGAAGCTGGCTTTAAACTCATGATACTCCTATCTAAGCCTCCCAAACCACTGGGATTACAGGCATGCACCAACATGCCCGAAACCCCTTTTATATTATTTCCAGGATTACTTAGTACTAAACTATGGCTCATAACTCCTGAGAATCATTGGAAATCTGCAAATCCCAATGTTTAGCTCTATATCTGTTTGGGTGCTAAAAAATTTTTTCCAGGAAATATAGGTATAAGACCTAACAATCAACCTGGGTGTGGTGGTGCATACCTACAATCCCAGCAACTCTGGAGGCTGCAATAGTCCAGCACTGAATCCAGTGCTAGAGTATCCTTGGGTTCAATCCCCAATACCACAAAAACAAATAAATATGTATAGATTTATAAAAAATAAATATATCTATAAAAAGTGTTTTTGTGTGGGTGTGATACTGGGGATTGAACCAAAGGCCTTGTACATGGTAAGCAAGTGCTCTATTACTGAACTACATCTTCAGTCCTTAAACAGTGGTTCTTGACTTTGGTTGAATGTTCATTACCTAAGGAACTTTAAAAAAACATTGAGGGGCTGGGGATGTGGCTCAAGTGGTAGCGCGCTCGCCTGGCATGCGTGCGGCCCGGGTTAGATCCTCAGCACCACATACAAAGATGTTGTGTCCGCCGAAAACTAATAAATAAATAAATAAATAATCTCAATCTCTCTCTCTAAAAAAAAAAATATATATTGATTCCAGGGTCTCACCTTTATATACATTATTCCCTCTGCCTGGAATACTGTCAAGCTACTCACCCTTAGGACCTCTATTTTTCAGAAAAGCCTTAAATTAAACCAATTCTCTCTGCTAAACATTCCCATACACAGTATTGGGTATTATGTAGATTACTTACACAGTTTAAATAAATAAAAATGTATAGTTGGGTGAGGTGGCACATACCTATAATCCCAATGATTTGGGAGGCTAAGCCAGGAGGATTCCAGTTCAAGGATCAGCGTTGGCAACTTAGGCCCTAAACAATTTAGCTAGACCCTGTCTCAAAATTAAAAATTAAAAAAAAAAAAGAAAAAAGGACAGGGGATGTAGCTTAGTGGTAAAACCCACCTGAGTTCAACCCTAGTACCAATAAATAAATAAATGAATAAAATGTATAAACATATTTGTGACCATAACACCACTATTCCTTAGAAGCAGATTCTGTATTTTATTCATTTTTGAATCCCAAGCTGTACCAAGATCAACTAATGTTTGTTAAATTTAAACTATTAGTCATTAGAAACATTAAGAAAAAATTTTCCAGGCATGGTATTGCAAATCTGTAATTCCAGCAACTCAGGAAGCTAAGGCAGGAGGATCACAAGTTTGAGACCAGCCTGGGCAATTTAGCAATACCCTGTCTCTATTTTTCTAATAAAAATAGAAAAGGGCTTGCAATGTAATTCAGTGGTAGAGCACCCCTGAATTTAATTCCCAGTACCAAAAAAAAAAAACAAAACAAACAAACAAACAAAATTCCCACTTCTACTATGGAGATTTCTTCAGAGAACTTAATTTACCTTTGGGTATTCAATTTAATAAGGGGTATTTTTAGTTTCATTGAAGTGATCCATTACGAATGATATATTGATATGGTTCAAAATATATAAACATTATAACAGTAAGACCTAATGTTTAACCAGGACCTACTACATGACTTGCACTTGGCTTTTTTTTTTTTTTGGCCAAAATTTGGGATTAAACCCAGGATATTCTACCACTGAACTTCATCTCCAGCTTTTTATACTTTGTATTATGAGTCAGGATCTCACTATATTGCCAAGGGTAGCCTCGAACTTGCAATCCTTCTGCCTTAGCATCCCAAGTAGCTGGGATTAGAGGTATGAGCAGTTGTACCTGCCTCACAATTACAATTATTAATCTTCAGAAGAATACTGCAAGGTAGGAATAGTATCTATTTTACAAATAAGGAAATAGAAACAGAGAGGTTATGCTATAACTCACTCTGGATCATGAAGCAAGAAAGCTGGGCTTTTTCTTAGGACTCTGACTCTAAAGTAAGCTTTACTATACATACCCTATTTCATGAATGTATTTCATATATCAGTCATCTTAATAGAGTCTTATACCACCAAGACACAGGTCAGCTTGACAAAAATAATACATTTTTAAGGTCTAACCTTCAAAGGCCCTTCGCCTGTGAGAAATTCAGAGTAACCAGCATCAGTGGCCAGCAAACCTACAAACTGCATGCTGGGCCGTTGTTGTATAAAGGCTTCAACAGCTTTATCTGTCACATGCTTTCTCCCAGAAACATCCAGGGAGACAAGATTGGGTAGGATATCCTTTTGTTCTAGTAAGCGAAGAGCTATGTCTGATGTAAACTGTTTATCATCTGAGATATCAAGATGATTCAGATGTTTTAGTTCCCGAACAACATCCAGTATCTGGGTAGTTGTCATTTTTAAACATTTCAAGTGGTGCATGGTTAAAGACTTGAGTCGGTCTTTGCAGGCCAGGAGGGCAGTGATGTCTGTGATTGAGGTGTTAGAAATATCCAGGCTCTCTAATCTTGGTAATGAGGCAACTTCAGCCAGATCTTCATTGTAAAAGAGAACATTGGTGATGCTTAGAGCTCGAAGGCCAGAAAGACGGCTGAAGCACCGCTCATAAGGATCCTCAAGGGAGAGAGTTAATGAGTTCAGCACTAAGCACTGAAGATTTTGCTGGATCCATTTGTTACTGCCAAGCCCACTGATAATGTCTGTAATGGTGATGTCAGCATTCACACCTGTGGCATCAAGTTCCACTAACTTGTGGTGGCAGAAGGCTTTCCGGAAAGCAACAGCAGAGATCTTTGCCTTGCGAATGCAAGCTCGCTTTAAACGCATCTGGTTGCCTCTAAAAATACCCACAGTTCCATCGTTCAGTAGACCTGCGGAAAAACAAGCAGAATTTTAACTTCGAAAAACAGCTAAGAAGAGCTAAAACTTCCATCATACTTTACATTTCCAATGTGCTCCCCCATTCAACTGTATCTCATTTGATACAATTCAGTGAGGATACTTTTGTCTATAATCATATGAGAATATTATTGTCTACAATTTACAAATGAGTAAAATAGGCCTCAGAAAGAGGCTTTCCAGGGGCTGGGATTGTGGCTCAGCAGTAGAGCGCTCGCCTAGCACGGGTGGGACCCAGGTTCGATCCTCGACACCACATAAAAATAAAGGTATTGTGTTGTGTCCATCTACACCTAAAAAAATAAATATTAAAAAAAAAAAAGAAAAGAAAGAGGCTTTCCAAAATCATGGAGGTAGCAAGTGCAGATTCAAGACTGTGGTAAACATGACTGATATCTATTAACATCTGTTTCTCCTCACCTTTCTAGACCCATAGACAGACAGCTATACATACCAGCCCTCCCGTGGACTTAGGGAGGGAACTTGTGCTAATTCTGGTCAATGGTGTGTAAGCTGAAGCACCTGAGACCCAGTGCATAGTTTTTCATGCTAGCTTCTCCTGCTATGGCAATGAGAAGGCTTCAGGTTCTAAAGAACTAAATTTGCTGGGTGCAGTGGTACATGCCTATAATTCCAGCAACTTGGGAGGCTGAGGCAAAAGGATCACAAGTTCAAGGCCAGCCTCAGCAATTTAGAAAGACCCTAAACAACTTAGCGAGATCCTGTCTCAAAATAAAAAGGGCTGGGGATGTAGCTCAGTGGTAAAGTACCCCTGGGTTAAATCTCCAGTAACAAATAAAATAAAAATAAAGAGTGTAAATTTAAAGGGTTAAAGTTTGGATACTAGGAGACATGGAACAAAACCCTCAATGGACTTCATTTCCAACCTATCCTTTAAATTGGTACAACATATTATTATACAAACCCATATACTTAGCACATATATAATGTCTATAATTCATTATTAAACCACTAGCTACACCTGAAACCTTATTAAGAGGGGTTAGGAGTTATAGACCCTCACTGTCAGATGAATGCCAATCAAGTAGACACAGAAATTTCTTGAGGTCCCTTAGAGATTTACCTGCCTACCAATCAATAGATACTTTGGAGCCATATCTCAACAACATCACGTAAACTAAACAGTATCTACTGTGAAATAAGTAACAGTCATGACAATAAAAGGTAGTCTAAGAGATGGGGTAAATGAGCAGCTGGACAAGATAAATAAGTAGCCTGGGTTTGAACCTCAAATCAGTTAGTTCCAATATCTATTTGATATTTGACACTGAACAATTCCTTATTCACAAAATATGAATAATTATATTTCCCTCACAGGGATTGCTATGAAAATTAAATAATACAGTGTACATAAAAAAAATTCTAAAACTTAAAACACTACATAAATGCCATTAATTATATTTGAAGGAAATTTTCCTAAATATCTTTGTGGGTTTTTCTGTTTTTGTTGTTTGGTGGTGCAGGGGATTGAACCCTCAAACTTGCAATCCTCCTACTTCAGCCTCCCAAATCACTGGGATTATAGGCATGTGCCATCTCACCCAGTCTATCTTTGCCTTCTTTCAAACATCAGCAAAATAAAGACTCATCTAGCTTTTCCTATGACCAAAAATTATTGCTAAATGATACTTTGCTGTCATACTAATCACTTATGTTACTAGTTGGCAGCCTTTCTCCTTCAGATTTGCAGTTCTTAATTTGCTACTGTCAGAGAATCAAGATTAGATTTTATGTATTTAACAATCAATGCTGAACGTGGTGGCACACACCTGTAATTCCAGCAGCTCAGGAGGCTGAGACAGGAGGATCGTGGGTTCAAAGCCAGCCTCAGCAATAGCAAGGTGCTAAGCGATTCAGTGAGACCTGGTCCCTAAATAAAATATAAGATAGGGCTGGGGATGTGGCTCAGTGGTTGGGGGTCCCTAGGTTCAATCCCCAGTACTCAAAAAAAAAAAAAAAAAAAAGAATCAAGGGGTTGGGGTAGAGCCCAGGGGTAGAGCTCTTGCCTAGTATATGTGAGGCTCTGGGTTCAATTCTCAGCACCACATATAAACAAATAAATAAACAAAAATAAAGGTCCATCAATGACTAAAAAAAAAAAAAAATGAATATGCTTCAGGAGTTCAACAGAGTATACGAAAAAAATTTGAGAAGGAGGGTAGAAGGGCGGGCATGAACAAAATTTACCAAGTGCTACATCCATGTATGCTATGTCCACATATGAATATACCACAATAAATCTATACACATATATACATGCATATATTTATAATGTACTCATTAAACTAATAATAATGACAATAATAATAATAATAATAATAGAAAGAGTCCAATAGAGCAGAGCAAGATGATCAGAGGGAGGGAAGAGGGGTACTGATACAATGAGTAAAGACTATGACAACAGAATCATAGATCCTAATATATAAAATCCCTTAGTATCATAATTATTTTAATGAAGACTGCTATCAGTATAATCAATCCATTAAATGGGTAAATAATTTTTTTGTTTTATTTTGCTTTTCTTTGTTACTGGGGATTAAACTCAGAGATGCCCTACCACTGAGATACATCCCCAACCTTTTTTATTTTAACTTTGAGAAAGGATTTTGCTAAATTGCTTAGGCTGGCCTCAATCTTGTAAATCTCTTGCTTGTAAATCTCCTGAGTTGCTGGGATTACAGGTGTGCGCCGCTGTGCCCAGCAAATAAATTTAAAAAAATGTTAAGAGTACATGTTAAGTACTTTCTAAAATCAAAATGCTATTAGAAAATGCATGGTATTTCCAAAAATTAAAAAAAAAAAAAAAGAAAGAAAGAAAAGGAAAAAAAAAAAGTAGTAGTTTCAGTACTGGGAATTGAACCCAGGACCTCACACATGCTAGGCAAGCACTCTGTCACTGAGCTACATCTCCACTCCTTTTCTAAATTTTATTTTACTTTGAGACAGAATCTGGTTACCCAAGCTGACCATGAACTTGTGATCCTCCTGTCTCAACCTTCTAAGTGGCAGGGATTTACAGGAATGCTCCATCAAGGCCCAGTGGTATTACCAGTTTTCATAGTATGATTGTTTTTTTGTATTTTATGAAAAATTTCAAACACAAGAAAATTTATGAAACAACTTTTTAAAGTTCTGACATGAACTAGCAAGATGGAGTTTTATTTGCATATTCAATTGCATCCACAATAAATCAATTCAAGATGGATATGATTTTTACAAAGATGTTAAATAATTCAGAACTTTTTTGGAGGTGGGTACTACAGAGCTACATCTACATCCCCAATCTATTTTTTTTATTTTTTCTATTTAATTGTATATGACAACAGAATGTATTTTAATTCATCGTACACAAGTGAAGTACAACATTACAATTCTCTGGTTGTTCACAGTGTAGAGACACACCATTTGGGCAATCATACATGTAGCTAGGGTAATGATGTCCATCTCATTCCATCATCATTCCTATCCTCCTAACCCCACCCTACCCTACCCTTTGCCCCATCCAAAGTTCCTGCATTCTTCCCATGCCTCTGCCCCCGCCCCCATCATAGATCACAATCCACTAATCAGAGAAAACATTCGGCCTTTAGGTTTTTGGATTGGCTTCTGTTGTTGTTGTGTAGATGGGCACAATATCTTTTATTTATTTATTTTTATGTGGTACTGAGGATTGAACCCAGTGCCTCACATGTGCTATGCAAGTGCTCTACCATTGAGCTACAGCCCCAGCCCTTGGCTTTTTTTTTTAAGTCAGGGTCTCTTTAAATGACATTAATTTGTGATCTTTCTGCTTCAGCTTCTTCACTCACTGGGATTACAGGCCTATGCCACTGTGCCTGGTCAACTTTCCATTTTAAAAGTCAGAAACAGAAATCATTTTTTCATAATACTGTATGACTCTCTCACTGTCAAATTCAGATATAAGGTATTGGGGCTGGGGTACAGTGGCTCAGTGGTACAGTGCTAGCATGTGTGAGGCTCTGGGTTCCATCCTCAGCACCACATATAAATATATAAAATAAAGGTCCATCTACAATAAAAAAATATTTATATAAGGCTGAGGTTAGGGCTCAAAGGTAGAGTCTTTGCCTATAATGCATGAAGCACTGGGTTTGATCCTCAGCACCACATAAAAATAAATCAAAGGTATTGTGTCCACCTACAAGTAAAAAATAAATATTTTTTAAAAATTTATATATATTTATATACCGTGTGTGTATGTGTGTGTGTGTGTGTGTGTGTGTGTGTGTGTAAGGTATTTTATTCCTTAGACTTATAAATGAACATTGTAGACTTAGAGAAGTTATTTCTGACCTAAGAATGGTTTCTCAAAGAAAAGCAAACCAAAACAAAAAAAGCTACTTGCCAAAATTAGAAAAGAAAAATACTTTTCCTAAATTCCAGTTAAGGTGGCTCAGTGGTAGTGAGCTTGCCTCGCATGTGTGAGGTACTGGATTCAATCCTCAGCACCATATAAAAACAATAAACAAAATAAAGGTATTGTGTCCATCTACAACGAAAAAATAATACTAAATAAATTACACAGTTAAGAGTCAAGACAAGTAAAAATAAATGAATTCCTTTTTCTAGAACTGGGCTTATCTGGAGTGTTATTTCTAAGAAAATAATTTAATGTCAACAATAATACTTCAAAATCCAATTCCAATTATTAGCACATAATTTTTGTTTTCTGTTTTTGTTTTTGTTTTTTACCATGAAATGCCATGGTCTGAAGCAGTCGATCAGCCACCTCCTGTGGAAATACTCCAGGTTCCTGCAGACATAATGTTCCATCTTGTCTTGCTGAACAGAATTTCTCAAGGTGTGTGGTCAGGAAACTCAAGCAGATATCAAGTAAGGAATAGGGAGATGCCTCCTCCTTGGAGTCCAGGAAGAAACATGGAACACAAAAGGGAACAAGTTAGTTTCCAGAAAAGTCCAGAACAAAAGATTGATTTACTCATTCAACAAGCCATAGGCAGTAGATACTTTGTTAGGCAGTAAGAATACAATGTGTGTCTGGAAGCAATGGCAGCACACCTATAATCTCAAATCACTTGGGAGACTGAGGCAAGAATATCTCAAGTTCAAAGCCAGGCTCAGCAAATTAGTGAGTCACTGTCGCAAAATAAAAAATAAAAAGGGCTGGCAATGTGGCACAGTGGTTAAGCACTCCTGGGTTCAGAACACAATATGTGACCTATGTTCTCAGAATTTAAAAGAGAAACACTGAAACAAACATGTATACACAGTCTCCAGTACTACAACAGTGGACACATTAGGTACTATGTATAAATTGTTGAAGGGTTCTAAGCATTCAGGGGTGATCAGTCAAGACCTCAGAGGCATAGTAGATTAATTTTCCTAAACTATCACTCATGATTTCCCTACTCAATCTTCAATGGACTCTCACAGGCCTAAAGACAAAAAACCTAACATTGTTAGATTGATATCTTGAGTTCTTCCAAAATCTATCCCTAATTTACTTTTCAACATAATCTCCCACAAAATTTCCATTCTAACCTGATGGTTCAAATATGACAAATTCATTTGGACAAAAGAGTATATTCTCAAAGTAATATTTTCAAAAAAGGAAAAATTTAACCCAGTTATTCCAGTGTAAGGAATAAAGCAGCCAAAACTTAACTGAAAGGGATTTTTTGTAGGATTAAACTTAGGGCCTCATACTTGCTAGGCAAGTGCTCTATCACTGCACTATACCCTCAGCCCAAATGTAAGGGCTTTAACTGCAGAAATAAACACTCTAAATGTTCCCAGCAATAAAATATGGTTAAAATATAATTACATTTAACCATCTAGTAGGTACTTTCTGTATGATTGTGCTAAGCATTTTATAAGATACATACTATTTCATTTGTTCCTCACCCTTCTTTTGCAAAGTAGTCAAGTATTCTCTTCTTGTTTATATGACTAAAAACATGTTCATAAACAACATCTTTCTCAGCATTACACACAATAGTAAATGGCAAAATATGGCTTCACAAAGAAGTTGATTTGGTACTGATTGAACCCAGAGCTGCTTAACCACTGAGTCATATCCCTAATCCTTGTTATGTTTATTTTGAGACAGGGTCTTGCCAAGTTGCTGAGATTGGCTTTGAACTTATGATACTTCTGTCTCAGCCTCTCAAGCTGCTGGGATTACAGATATGTACCACCCCGCCTGCCACGAGTATAACTCTTAATCTCTCTATACTACACATGTGACATTTTAATGGCTGAATAGTGTATAGCCATTAAAAATTGTATTTCAAAGATATACTGTATAAATCACATAGAAAAATACGAGGTAAGGTATAAAAAATAGCCTACTAAACTTCCTCAACCAAATGAAGAACATCTACCAAAAAAAAAAAAAAAAAAAACACAGTAAAGCTGGGTATAGTGATGCACTCCTGTAATCTTAGCAACTCCAGGAGATTGAAGCTCTAGGATCACAGGTTTAAGGCCTGCCTCAGCAGTTTAGTGAGATCCCACAATAACTTAGCAAGATCCTGTCTCAAAATAAAAAAGGACTGGGAATGCAGCTCAGTGGTAAAGCATGCAGGCCCAGTACCAAAAACAAACAAAAACTAAACAAAACAAAAAATCCAGTTAACAATCATAATTATGAAAATCTTAATGTTTTCACCCCAAATCAGGAAGAGGATGAGGATGTCTATTTTTACTACTTCTATTAAACGTTTTACTGAAGGTTCTAACCAAAGAAATTAGGCATGAAAAATAAATAAAAAGCATATAAATTAAAAAGGAAAAAGGAAAGCTATCTTTATTTGCAGTTGACACCATCCAGATACAGAAAATCCCAAAGAATTTTTTTAAAAACATGTTTCAATTACATCATGGACCCTTTTATTTATATATATATATATATATATATATATATATATATATATATATATATATATATATATTTTTTTTTTTTTTTTTTTTTAACTCTTCCTTAGCAAGAAGAGTGAAGCAGGTGGCATCCCTATACCAGACCTTAAACTATATTACAGAGTAACAGTAACAAAAACAGCATGGTATTGACACCAAAAAAGACTTGTAGACCAATGATACAGAAAAGAGGACACAGAGACAAACTCACATAAATACAGTTATTTTCATACTAGACAAATGCACTAAAAACATATATTGGAGAAAAGATAGCCTCTTCAACAAATAGTGCTGGGAAAACTGGAAATCCATATGCAGGAAAATGAAATTAAGCCCCTATCTCTCATGAAACAAACTCAGCTCCAAGTGGACCAAGGACCTAGGAATTAGACCAGAGACCCTGTGCTTAATACAAGAAAAAGTAAGCCCAAATCTTCATCATGTCAGATTAGGTCCCAACTTCCTTAATAAGACTCCTATAATGCGAGAAATAAAACCAAGAATCAATAAATGGGATGGATTCAAACTGAAAAGTTTCTTCTTAGCAAAAGAAATAATCAGTGAGGTAAAGAGAGAGCCTACAGAATGGGAGCAAATTCTTACCAGACACACATCAGATACAGCACTAATCTCCAGGATATATAAAGAACTCAAAAAACTTATCACCACAAAAACAAATAACCCAATCAATAAATGGGCCAATGAACTGAACATACACTTCTCAGAAGAAGATATACAATTAATCCACAAATATATGAAAAAAATGTTCAACATCTCTGGCAATCAGAGAAATGCGAATCAAAACTACTCTAAGATTTCATCTCATTCCAGTCAGAAAGGCAGTTATTAAGAATACAAACAATATAATAGGTACTGGCAAGGATGTGGGGGCGGGGGGAAGGCACACATACTCATACATTGCCAGTGGGACTGCAAATTGGTACAACCAATTTGGAAAGCTATATGGAGATTGCTTGGAAAACTGGGAATGGAACCACCATTGGACCCAGCTATCCCACTCCTCAGATTACACCCAAAGGACTTAAAAGCAGCATAGCCACATCAATATTTATAGCAGCACAAATCACAATAGCTGAATTGTGGAACCAACATAGATGCCCTTCAGTAGATGAATAAAGAAAATGTGGTATATATATACAATGGAACATTACTCAGCATTAAAAGAGAATAAAATCATGGCATTTGCAGGTAAGTGAATGGATTTGAAGAGTATCATGCTAAATGAAGTAAGCCAATCCCAAAAAAAAAACAAAGACGAAATGTTTTCTCTGATATATGGATGCTGATCCATAATGGGGTAGGGAAAGAGCATGGGAGGAATGGAGGAACTTTGAATAGAGCAAAGGGGAGAAAGGAAAAGGGAGGGGGGAATGGGGGTAGAAAAGATGGTGGAATGAAATGGACATCATTATCCTAGGTACATCTATAAAGACACGAATGGTGTGATTGTACTTCGTGTACAACCAAAGATATGAAAAATTATGCTCCATATGTGTACTATGAATTGAAATGCATTCTGCTGTCATGTGTAACAAATTAGAAATAAAACGTGGTTCATCCACACCATGGACCCTTTTTAATAAATATTTTTCACAACTTTATTTATTTATGTATTTGTTTGTTTATTGTGCAACTTTATTTATTTATTTATTTAATGTAGTGTTGAGGATTGAACCCAGTGCCTCACACATGCTAGGCAAGTGCTCTACCACTGAGTTACAACCATAACCACCTAATAAATTTTTAAAAAGCTACCAGGAAAAAAAAAGTTCACAACATCACAGGTTACAAGATTTAAAAACAACAACAAAAGAACCCTCTATTTTTGCATTACTATATATTTACAAATTTACAATAAACAATCTTATAATGAAATTAAGGAAATAATTCCATTTACAATTGTACCAAACAATAAAATATTTAGGAATAAATTTTAATAAAAGTGAAAAATTAAGTGTTGAGAGCCACAGCCGAAGGGGCCCCAGCAAACTTCCAGCTGCCAGCAAACTTCTAGCTGCCGGCTGATGAGTGGCTCACAGCGGCCCCAGCAACATCTAGCTGATTGGCTCCTCGGCCCCAGCAACATCTAGCTGATTGGCTCCTCTGCGGTGATGCTCATTGGGCTGTTTCCCTGCCCTTTCAGACCACGGAGCTGCTCATTGGGGGACTTTTTTGGCTCCGCCCACGTGACCCAGCCAATCGGCCTCAAGAGCAGGAGGATTGTGGGAGGTGGAGAGAAGCTTGTGTGGGAGAGAGAGGCTTGTGGAAAGCCGGTGGTGGCAGTTGAGGCTCTGAGGGTTTTTCCTGAGAGGCTGTTTTGTTTGGCGTGTGTGGTTCTAAAAATAAAGTTAGTTTCTTTTGACAAGTGGCTCCTGATTGTGCCCAGCCAGACTGCGACAATTAAGAAATTAAAGGCCTAAAAAATGAAAAGCATTCCAGATTTATAGAAAGAAGACTTAATACTGATAAACTGATCTGGCATTCAATACAATTCCTATCACAACCCCCCCCCCGCCATTTTTGCAGAAATTGACAAATTGATACTAAAATGCTTTAGGCATGCAGAAATGCAAGAGATCTAGAATAGCCAAAATGATCTGGGAAAGGAAGAACAAAGTTGGAGGCCTGGCACTTGGCATTCTCAAAACTTACTACAAAACTACATTAACCCCCCCCAAAAAAAAAAAAAAAACTCAAAAAACTACATTGACCAAACAGTTTGGCACTAGCATAAGGACAGACACAAAGATCAATGGAGTAGAATTTAAAGTCCAGAAACTCCTACAGTTAGGGTCAAATGATTATCAACAAGGTACCTAGCCATTCCAGTGAACTAAATAATAGGCCTTTAAATAAATGGTCCCTGGGACAACTGGACATCCATGCAAAATAATGAAAATGGAGTCCCCATATCACACCATATACAAAAATTACCTCATAATAGATCAAACACCTAAA